TGCCAGACTCTTAACAGATAAATTTTAAAGTGGCTAAYAGCTGCCCATTTTATAAAGACTTCTGAAGAAAAGTGTTAYAGTATTACACTTTTTGTCACAYATCTTGTAGGAAAGGACTGATTTTAAAGCTTTGTAATTAATACAAAAGTTAMTCTTACATTTATTCTTTAAAGTCCACGTGCTAAATTTAGACAGTGATACTGTCACAGGAAAYGGCATCACTTCTAAAAATTTACTACAGCAGTGAGGACTTTTGGAAATGTGTTTTACGCTGATTCTRTAGGCAGGTAACCTTTAGCAGATTAGCCCTGGCAAAGCCTACAGTATTAATAACATGTTTATAATTGTAGTTAGTCAGTATCTTGTAATCTATTAAGGTATCAAAAACTGAGGCCCACCTATGATCTGCAGACACCCATCTGGATGGAATTCCCCAATATCTCCTGTACAGAACCATCTCTGACCRTTCTCATCAGTGGTAAACTCTTCTGTTGTCTTCTCTTCATTTTTAAAATATCCCATGGAGACGTTGGGTCCACCAATTATAATTTCTCCTCTAGGATTAGGCTTGTCTTTATTAGTATATCCCCCTGAAAATAACAAAGTCCCACACAATTATTTTTAACTTGTATATCCTTCTGCCAGGGAAATATTTTAAAACTTCAGCTTGAAGTTAAAGCACACTAACTGATTACTATTATCAAAGATAAAGAACAATTACTTCATATGCTACTCTTAGCTAAGCAGACAGGCAAACAAACCAGCTAGGCAATGGCTAAATTAATTACTCTGAAATCAAAACAATTACTACTCTCACCTTCTTGCCAATCTCTCAGTTTTATTTCACAGCAAATAAGAGGAGCTCCAACTCTGCCAGTGCTGTAATCAGCAACTTAAAGAGAGAACAAGAAAGAATAGATTTTTTTTGTTATCTGAAATATGAATAGGGTGCATCTTATCTCAAGTTACTTTACTGCAGAACTACAGCTTTTTGTTAAAAAAAAWTTAAAAATCACCAAGCCCTTGTACATTTCTATAACTTACATTATGTATTTTCACAAATGTTTTGGTTACCTTCTGTAATTGTGCCGGCTCCACATGTTTCTGTCAGTCCATAACCTTGACCAACWGGACAGCAAAAACAGATGTTCATGAATCTTTGTGTTTGAGGTGAGAGTGGTGCTCCTCCAGAAAGCATCATACGGACATTCCCTCCCAGCAGGGCCTTTACTTTTTTAAACAACAGTCTTGAAAGAAGGCAAAAAGCATTAAAAATTATTCACTTAGCTCACTTCCATAAAAAGACACAAACCTTCTTCCTTCCTTCCTATGCGGAATGCCTTAACAATTAACTGATTCACAGCTTTTGGTGGACAGCAGGGCTAATCCAAACCCGTTACCTCTTGTGTAATACTTGGAGAGKCAGATTCCCGTATCTTAACTAAACAAACATTCCAATTTTATCACTAAAAAAAAGAAAACCAATGAAAATGAACCAGTCAGCTTTCTGGAAGATTAGTCATTACTGTGAAACATCTTACTGTTTCCAGTAAGAACTTGGACTACCTCATTGGGTGTTATCCCAGCAGATRAGAACTGATAGCTCAGATATCATTCTTTTAGACTGTCCTAACAGATCCCAAGGCAAAAGGCACATGTGGCCCGTAAATTCTACTTACATGTTACACAGAGGAGCATCATATCCCCTCTTGATCTGTTCCAACTTGTAGTCATAGCCTATCTTGAACAGAGTTCTCTGAATATAGTTCATCTCTTGAACTTTACTCATAACATTTTTATAAATTCTATCCATTATTTCCTACAAAGTGTTAAAAAGAGAAAGGAAAATTACCACGTGGGATACACCAGCACGAGTAAATTAAATTCCAYGTTATAAGTAATCCCCCCCATTATTCTTCCTTTAGAATGGATAATAAGAATGAAAATGTTTACATCATGGGTTAGGCAGTGCTCAAGTGCAATGCTTTCAACATATAATTAAAGTTAATTTACAGATCATCACAGCTTGCAGCTATTTACAATTTACGATACTTAAACTGGGACAAACTGATTTAGAAAATTTTAATTTCAAGTTTAGTTATCTCTTTGCTAAAGGTTGGTATATTCCCCTCAAGATGTGTCATGCTTGGGMGTGCTGATGCTGTACTTTATCCACAACCATTGGTAAGTGTAAGGAAATGAACTAAGAAAATTAATTTCACCATTTCCTTTTCCAAGAGAGTTCCTCAAYTCTCAGAGCAACATGGTTGCAGTAATTTTAATTATCTGACAAAAACCCATCACAATTCTGTCACAGCCCAGAGATTAATTTCCATTAAAATAATAAGTTTATGGTCACCCAAATACACAGAACCAAAGATTGTGTTCAGACTGATAAAGTATTGGATAGAAGTTTAAAAACTGGCTCCTTCAAATTTGYTTGGAGCATAATGCTTTGAAATATTTATGTGCTATCTCCCCATGAAATAAATTTAAATGAATATTTTCCAGCAGGTTGGAGTTCTCAGATGTATTATCACTGTTAATAAGAAAAAACTCAAGCCTCCATATATGCTTATTATTTTATAAAACAAAAGAATGCAAGTGACTACATTGATTTTAAAAATCTTGGCTATTGTAAGATATTGCAGAATAACCAAATCAAACCAGAAGTCACTATTGCTAAATTAGATTAAATCCTCCTACTCACTCCCAACCACCATGTGGCACCACCWGGTGCTACCAGTCTTAGGAGCCACAGATGTGATAGGATCTAAAAGCAGCACCTGTGATGGCAGAACACGTAGAGAGGGCTTGGCATCAGAAAGACACAAATATTTCTGGAGTTTTTGGACAGCACTACAGCCTTGTGGAGTGCAGAAGCCTGGTCACTCACAGAGCAGTGCAAGCTACAGAAGCAAGAGGAGTTAAGAGTCTCCTGATCACTTTTTCTTCTGAGAGGAAACTAAGCCTGGCCTGCTTACCCTGAGAACAGCACGAGAGATTCAACCTCAGTGTTACCCTGAAGCTTCACTTGTTAAGTCTGTGACTGACCCAAATGCCCAGATCATTGAAGTGTCCCTCTTGGCCAAGGCCACCCTGCTTCGTCCCTGTGCAAAAAGAAGCTCCAGACTGTGATTGTGTCCTACTGTTGTGTCAGGAGCCCAGCAAAACACCACTTGTAACTATTGAAACATTTACAKGTTGGGATCAAAAAGGATCTTGGCCTTAGTACAGGCAGACTCGTGCTCATCTGCAGAAACCAACAGCTGTTTTTCTATTAGTGACAATTACTTACATGTAAAGAGAAAAACGTTAGTAAATACATTTTTCTAGCATGAAAAAGGTAGAAAACATAATTTTTTTCTAAACATATCTGCTTCTGCATACTTACAGGCACTGCTGCCATCAGYGTAGGCTTAAGTACAGTACAGTCTCCTTTGCTTCCCTTCTTAATTTTACTTGACTGCAATAAGAAAAAAAACCCATCAATTTATAAAGCTAAAAACCAACAGCTCTTGAAAACTAAAGAACTAACAAAAGGAGATATATTAGCCTGTAATTTGTTCAAGTATTTTCCCCCRTTCTTGTGTCATTTCCCCCTCGTTGTTATGGAAAGGGTAATGATTAACAMCTATTTCAACCAAAATAATCTTTTATGAGTTCACTTTGTTTATCTTTCTCTTACTTCCTCCCTCTAGTACTTGCTTTCTCCTCCTCATCTTCCTCTGGGTGCTTGTTTTGCACAAGTAATAAGCACGATAATGCAAATCTCTATACCAGCAAAACAYACAGACATCTTTTATGGCTTAATTTGTTCTTACTTTCTGCATTGTTAAATGGAAAAAGGCAAAGGACTAAATAGAAGATCTGCAATAACTGRATAAAGAAGTGGTAAAGTGAGACCAAAAACTKAAAATCACAAACAGTTCAACTGATCTATTAAGAGCTGTTCTTACCCTGTTACCCAGTGGATAATGCTACAGGCATTTATTAGGATTGCTTTTAGATTTCTTAAGTATCATAAAAGCAAAGGTTTTAATACAATTTATATAGCATGACCCATGGATGTWGTTCACCAGGAATGTTAATTTGCATCATTTTCTGAAAAAAAATTACATTACTGAAGTGTGCCGTATACATCAGTGTTTCTTTACTGAAGGAGGAAGCTGAACAAGGAGAGCACAGGATACAAAAGCTGAAGTTTGCCTCCCCCCTTGCTCTGGCAGCCCTCACCTGGTCCGAGAGAGTGAGAGGAGAGGAGTAGCCGATCCTGCAGCCGTAAGTGATGCAGGAAATTTCTGCCGTCAGTTCTAACACATGGGCCAGAGGCAAATAACCRATGTAAGTGTCCTTGGGGCTGGGAAAGGAAAATTAATTAACCATAAGGCACAAGTGGACTGAAAATACCATTTAATCATTTGATTGTGTACTTAGTTATTGCTTTTTGCTTGATCTGGATCACAAGTAAGCTTATTCTCCTGTACACAAGAAGGATTTGATTTCAACCACATCATATAAACAAAATGGGGGAAATCTGACCTTACTGAACTCTGTATGAATTATAGGATTTGCCTTGTTTTCTAGGGAACTCAGATTGCTTAGTCCTTTACTGCAATTTTCTCTCCTTGTGGGAGGTTTCATTCCAGTTACAAAATTAAGGATGAAATCACCATACTTTAAAATAATGACCAATGATTTACAAAACCATGTCAGTGACCTTTTCTTCCAGGATACAATACTAGAAAGGGAGCTGATCACTGAAGTACTGAGGCTTGTTTCAGGAAGTAATTGCTCTGAGATTTCTCCACAATAACTTAGAGCTGCCACTGAACAGCAGCTTTCAGCACCCAGCCAGAGTGGGGTTTATATGCTCTCACTACAGGAGTGTGGAACAGGCCTTGCTTCAGCTGTTGAACCCTTTGTGAATGCAGGGACTAATACACACACCTCCATGAAACATTTCCTCAAAACATAAAMGTGAGGGAATTTGCAGTTGGTTTTACTGTTGTCAATGCATGATTTATTGCTTTTCTGCTCCTTCAGTGAACTGTAATTGAGCAGATTCCGCAGTACGTACACCCAAGAGTGGTGTCTACAGGGTAATTAAGTGCTAGGTTCTGACATGCTTCCTAAACTGATTCTAGCTGCCTGAAAATGTCTGAAAACATTTCCCAAGTTAGACTACATGAGGAATCTCCTTATCTAGTGGCATCTTTCGTTGCTTAAGAGTGCAAAAATCCATTACAGACCTAGAGCTAAGGGWAATAATAATAAAAAAAGCAACAGCATGTGAGAACAAAGCTATAAGGGCATACCTTCCAAACAGGGTAAAGACATAAGCACAAGACATATTTCTTACAAATTAAAGACTAGTGGTCTCACAATAACATGAAGAACTTGATAACACACAATGCCAGCAGCAGACTCTCTAWAAATGTGCACACTTTAGGAGGTTGTTTTAGCACTTTGTACACAAAACAACGAAGTGTTTCTTACCCCAGTCCAGGTATTCTCTCACACTGTCCTGTCATTCCAGCTATTAAGTTTTTATGCATCATCATCACTCCTTTKGGTCTCCCAGTAGAGCCACTGGTGTACATTACTAAAGCCAAGTCTGTAGGAACAGGTCTGCTTGGCATGATGCTTGCTACAAAATTCAGGAGAAAAACTGTTAATAATTTTATCTACTTTCTGAATTATTTCTCTAATAATAATAATAATTTCTCTAACTAATCAGTGTGAAAATATCTGTAATCAGTGTGAAACAGATGCTTCATGGAAGGCCAGCAGTGTGCTGCTGTATGCTCAGTGCTGGAGAGAGTAGTGGGTGGTCTGGTTTCTTCCTTTTAAGAGGAAGAAAGGGAAGGCCCATTTTGAAARGAATTATGAGTACTTGGGCATCTACACAATCTGGGGGATGCTTTTGTCATTGTGGTTTATAATTGACTGAAAGTTTCATAGAAGGAGCCTTTTAAAGACCAAATAAAACCGTCAAGGGCAGCCAAGGAGAGAAACACAGTACTGATAATAAACAGCAAGTTGAGTAAAAAAAAAACAACAGAAACCCAACAAAAACCCCAAAAAGCTGCAAGTCAGCTTTCTGTCCATCAGTCTTTCAAAGCCAAGGTTGTAGATTAAAATTACTTTTTTTAACTTCTTCCCCCACTCCCCACATACTTTTTTTTTTTTTTAAATTTTAAAAGAAACCTTCCTCAGGTAAGCTGCAGATTAATGGAAAAGCAGTAACCTTAGAACACTTGACTTCTGATTTTTGTTTTAATTCCCTTTATTCTTAAGATGAAAATCATCAGCTTTCATGGCACAGTGTCTGCAAGGAAGGCCTGCAGAGTCTGCAGGTTTTTTTAGGGACAAAACCCAAGAAAAAACACCCTCAGGATCACTGCTGGTCTGTAGCAGCACCTCAGGCTGATCAGAGATAAGCAGCTATGATGAATGCTGTTTCCCAAAGCTCCTTTGCCAGTTATCTCCTCCTTTACTCCAGAGAAAGATGTGGCTAATTACAGACTGCTGATGTAAGGAGAATAGATCATCAGGGTTGGGTTTTCCTTCCTTAAAGCAGATATTTACAGTCACTGCTGGCCGCCCAATGGAGCAAGGAATGTAACTGTTAGTCCTGGAGACTTAGGTGCTTTTTAGCTACAACTTGGTTAAGAAAATGGACATTTCCAAGCCAAAAAACCTCAAAGCTTCAAGTGCTCTCTCCTCTTTTCTTAGAAAAAATAGTGACAATAAGATGAATGAAAGGTAAGAGTAGSAGAAAATGAAACACTACACCAGCTACTATTTATTTCCTAAAACAAAGATGGAGAATTAAATTATTCTGGTTATGGTTTAGAAGTTAAAACTAAAGTTTTATCCTGACATACCTGACACATGAACAAGAGATTGAAAACAATTTTTTTTTGTTTATTGAAAGGTAGCCAGAGGATGAACTGGCAACTTGCCACCACCTTTGTGCTGGTGACCTGCATGGGTGAGTGTTTTTCTGCTATGCATCCATCTTAACCCAGTCTGATTTCACTGCTAACACTGCTTGATTAGTCCAMCAAGTGATACACTTACAGTTTTCTGGTTTGGCTCCCAGTTCTTCTACTGTCTGCATACTATGAATCTCCACATTTTCAGGGTATTCTGATTTATTGACAGTCTTCTTGTCCACATAAATGATATGTTTCAGACAGGAGACTTGTGGCAGTGCAGTCTATAGAACAGAAATGAAACTTTCAGCACTGTACTGACTGTACTGTAAAATTACTGTAGGGTTGCTTATAGCAGGTGAAGCTGATACCAAATTACCTTAAGTTTGCTCTCAAGAAGTTCCACACTCGTGACCAGATACGCTGCTCCACACTCATTGAGACCATAAGTCACTGCTTCTTCACCCAGGGTGGCATACAGAGTGACAACTGTCACAATGATGGAAGAAGGCATGAAAGAAGGGTTAAAGTGATACTAAATGCAAAAGCTCTTGCTTTAGCTTACTGGAAACCACTCAATTGGGAATTTTCTAATTTGYAAATAAAATAGCTTTTAATTTTTCCACGTCAGAGATTTTATGGCACAAGAGACCTCTGGAACAAGGAGGACAGTTGTACAGGAAGCATGGCTTTACTAAGAGGGTGGTCAAACACTGGAACGGGCTTTCTAGAGAGRTGGGTGATGCCCCAAGCCTGTCAMTGTTWWGGAGACCTTTGAACAATGCTCTAAATAACAGGCTGTAACTTTGAGTAAGCCTGAAGTGGCCAGGCAAGTTAGAAGGAACTTACAATAATCATCTAGTTCTCCTGAAATAATTGATTCTAGGCTAGAGCAGAGAAGAAATTATCAGAAYAAAGAGATGCACCAAAACCCAACAATAATGTATCCACAAATRTTTACTTTTCATAGACTTTTCTCCACTATCTCTGCTTGAATAGTTCAGGGCTGTTGMGAAGGAAGTCTGTCCTTCACATCATAATATTGTGTTTCTACATTATTTCTGTAATTAATCAAGGTGAACATGTCTGTAGTCAGTGTGAAACATGTGCTTCATGGAAGCTTCAATTAAAAAAAAGGAAAACCATACATAATTGTAATRAACTCCWGCAGCTTATAAATGTCACTAAAACAGACTACCCACAGATTAACATATGATTTTGTTTACCAKTCTTCTCTTCTGATATACCTCCTAAACATGGATTGGGTAAGTCAGGATACAGTCAGAAAATACTGTAAAAATATCCCACATTTTGGGGGGAGAAATGCAACTACTGACATCTTCAGAGTATTTAAAACAACCGGAATAGTAAGCGTAGTATTCTGTCATTTTAACATCTAGAACAGTACTACAATAAAATTGTAAAAAGCAGTTTAATAAGTATGAGCAAGTTAATTTTAGAGATCTCCATAATGCACAGACTAGACTGAAAACTTCTAAGAATCAGATCATCAGCAGAGAAAATTTATGAAATTCTTACACCTCCAATGACAAGACTGGCGGAGTCAAAATATAGCCAAATCTGTGCTGAGAAATGGTTCTAAAATACATTAGAAGTAACCAAATTGAGCACTCACGAGGGAAGTTGTACTTGAAGCAGGTTAGAGCTACAATCATCCACTCAGCTCGGGTCTCACAGAATATGACAACGGTACTTTTTGGGGTTAGTCCCAGGGCAGTCAGTCCATTCCCCAAGCGAGTGATTTTCTCATTTACTTCTTCATAGGATAACCATCTGTAAGCTCCTAAAATTAACTGCAAAGGAAAAACAATAAATTTTCATGACAAGAAGCTTCTGGTWCAGTTCYACCAGCTGATKTGAGTTGGTGTCTAACAGCATAAGCACACACAYTGTCATTCAATAAAAAATTGCTTTCATTTTTCTTGGAGTAGAATAAATAGTGCATGCTTGTATATTCTGTTATTCCTGAACTTCCATAACATGAATGGTTTATTAAACGATGACTGAGGAAGAGCTCTAAARGGACATGCATTGAGGCAAGATACAAAGCAGCTCAAAACCAGGTCAGAATTAAGTAAAAAATTGTGACTTTTACCTTTTTGAACACTTTTCCATTTGGTTGCATTTCRTTTTCTTCACTCAGTACTTCCCTGGTTCCAAGACAGTCCTTCTTCCCAAACTTTGCTAAAGCATGGTCAAAGAGCTTGTCCAAGGTGTCTGCTCCAGGGATGTTTATGTTTGCTAGTGAGTCCAGGTGAGTGACAGAGCGGTAGGGGCTYCCAGGCTTGTCCGAGATGGGTTTAGCTTTTAACCGCTTTGCCATAGCCTTTTTCTTCTTGGCATTGGTAAGAAAATACCAGGGAATAAATACCAGCATACTGTACAACCAGATAAACAAGTACACAGGCAGCAAGAGAATGGAACGCACTTCTAGCCTAGATTTCATTGTGGGTATTTAAAAGGAAACTCTCTTATGGAGTTCTGAGGCAGCAAGAGCAAAGCAGCAGCACACAGTGCTGCAGGGASAAGCAACAGGACGTGAAGCTTAGTTAGTACTCATTCACAGCAGCTGCAAAATTTTAGTAACCTTTGAGAGCCAACAGTAGACACTTGTGGGCGAAGACCAGTGCCAAGCAGAGAGCAGGAAAAAAAAAAGAAAAAATAATTAAATTAGTAATATTATAGTCAGTTCATTAGTTTTAGTCCTTCTAAAGAGTTCATTTCAAAAGCATCAGTGCACAATAGAGCAGTAATCTGCTCTGGGGATGAAAGAGGATGAAACTTTTCCATACTTGTTTCTTGCATCCACAAATATTTACTTTTCACAGACTTTTCCCCACTATCTCTGTTTGAATAGTTCAGGGCTGTTGAGATGAAGTCTGTCCTTCATATCATAATATTGTGTTTAAGCTACTTGAGTAATGACAATTGTGAAATTATGGGAAAGGTCAATGCTTGTTTTCCCACTAAATATTTGTACTACAGAGAAAAGGTACAGCAGATTGCTTTCCTGCTTTTCAGAATTTCTATCTATTTCTCTTCCGATTAAAATGTATCTTGACATACTCAAAAATAGTACATAGACTYCAAAATCTACATGCTATAATCTAAAAACTATATAATATTCCAACACTGCTTTAAAAATGCAATTGCTGGGGTTGCTAATCTCCTACTTTTCAACTATGAATGTTAGACTCCTGGAAAGATATTATGCAAGTTTGCTTTTCCAATTTCAAAAACTACTTCAATACATGCATTTCAAAATTCAAGTATGGAAAATTGAATAAAATTTGACTAAGTCAATTTAAAAGAAAGTACAATTTGGCAGTATTTTGTCTGCATGTCAGAAATCTTTCCTCATTAAGGAGAACTGGGCCTGGATAAGAACTGATAGTGAGTGGAAGAAAAACAAAACCATCACARCAAATCACTGCTGCAGCCAGCCCATTGGCCTGGGACTAGTCTGCACTGGCATGTGAAAGAGGTGAGTGGCTTATCTTCAMCTGGCTGGTGTGAAAACAGCTTGCTAACACAGGGAAATAAAAGGCCAAGGTGCACTAACCAGGGCAGAACCTCAGACAGGCAAGGAAGCCAGTTATGCTGACCTTCATCAGAGCCCAGGCTGTYACAGACACAGTCTGATAAACAGAAGGGATGAGAATAGGGAAATTCTCAGGGCTCCATCAAGAATTAAAAGAACGTGGGCACACCTCAAAATAGACCTTTATTAATATATTTGCCACCCTCAGGTGATGAGGGAGGCTACAATTAACATTTCAGGTTAAACAAGATAACTGCTACTAACAGCATAACAGAAATCTGTCAACAGGTTGGGGGGTTTTTTAGTAAGAATTCCAACATACACAGATGTGTTGTAGCCAATTTCAACAGCTTTAACGCAATTTAGAGATCTGCAGATATTTAAAACATGACCACCATGTTAATTTTAGTAATTACAACTACAAAATAAAATTACTATTAAATGATAGTACAATAAATGAAGCTAGACAAAACTAAGCTCAGACATGTATGGATGAAAAGTATTCTGCATATTCTTAAAAAAAAAAGAATTAAAAAAAGAATGCTACATTCTTTTCAAAATGTACATGTTTATTCTGCTCTGGTGAACCCCACCATCATCAACCTCAACAGAAAAGGGTTTATTTTATTTCCCAAAGCTCCAGTTCTCTAAAATGAAGGATTATTGGTTTTAATATGAATCTTGTACAATACTTTCATTCCAGTTATTTCAGTGCTCCAAACACAGCCACTGAGGTTGTATTTCAAAGACAAGCCAGCCATGGCACGAAGACACAGTAAGGAAATGTCAGGGCACACCCATGGTTATACATAATGCTACAAGTTAAAATAAAGCCCAGGGGGAACTCTGGCTGCTCCTCRCCTTCCAACAAAGAGCATATGACCAGGCACACTGACGTGGATATAAAGCAGAGTTGTTGGACTGCTACAAACTATTTAACATAATGAGACAGTACTGCAGCTTTTCTTCAAGCTGAGTAGGAGCTTGTTCAGAAGTGGTCCTACTGTGAAACACTACTGGCTAATAATCAAGAGCTGGCTAATTTAGGAAGGGGGGAGAGGAAGGATGCATTTCTTTCATTTTGGAATTTCAGTTTAATTTGAAATACTTTAAAAGGTGTTTAAAAACAGGAAATTTGGCTATTTTGTACTATTTGTAGTAATTCAAAACAGAATCACGTTCTATCCTGACAAAAATCAGTTGTAATTCCTAATAACATCAGCTGGAAAATCTTAGTGAGTCCCCAAAAGAYGACCTTGGCTTTTTCCTTTGAACATGCTCATGCAATACCTCACAAACACAAACACACAGAGGTGTACTTACAAGATATGACACTGATGACTGACGATTTTTCAGTGTTGATTAGATCTATATTAATACAGGAAAAAAAAAGAACATATTAGAGGTTAGGATGTTTTTCACCTTGCAGAATGGAGCAATCTTTAGAACTTCTACCCTATTGCTCTTAAGTAGCATAAGCTATGAATTAACACAGAGATGCAACACAGCCCTCACAAGGGAGAGCAACTGAGTTACTGGAAAAAAATTAAATTTCCAAGCTACATTRGACAGACAGGAGATAAAGCTACACAAAAAAAAAGAGTTTAATGCAAAAAAAGAGTTTATGCAACACTACCCCCTCCCTTCCCCATTTAAACATGCTCTGGGATAAAATTATGAACAGAAGTTTAATGTAATTTAATTACCAAAAAAATCCCCAAAAGTCAAGGAAGAGACTTTCATATTGCATATAATCTATTCTGCTGACTCAAGGCAGAAACAAGAAGCCCTTTGTCACTCTTGATAGATGAGTATCAGAAGAAACACAAACTCAGGCCTACGCATAGCACACGCTATCCACGAGAACATGAAGTGGATTTGGGGTATTGAGGTAAGAGAAGAGATTCAAGAACAAACGCATGTTTATAGAGACAGCAAGGCCACACTGATCCCCTGACCAGTGCAATAAAAGATGGCTGTGTGGAACTGCAGAGATAAGGCTCCAAGAAGTCTACTGCATCATCATTCTGTGGGACGACTTGGTTTTTCATACAGAAAGAAAACTTTAATTGATGTTTAACCTGGTTATATTTTAATAGCTTTCCCCATTAAGTCTAAGACTTCAATCAATCAGTTTTTACAGACTGAAACAGAGTTAAACATCCCGTACAAAATTCTGCTACRAAGATTTTCTTGAAATATGAAGATGAGGTGCTAATGGTTAAAATGTTTTCAGTGTTACTGGCACTTKCATGTTGCAGTATAAGATTTTGATCCATTGCAGGATCATCCCAAACTCGTGCTAAATATTTATCRTTACTTAAATATACTGCATAACAAACTGACGTCACGCAAAAGTACCTCCACACCAATTGGCTTCAGTTAGAAGCCCAACTTAGCTATTCAAATTACCTTATGCCTTCAATCTCCTACTTAATTAGACTTTAAGAGAAAGGAGAGAGATGCAACGTTCACATCMATGCACCATCAAGGACACTTCAAGRTAAAACAGCTACATATTACTAYATAACATAACAGTTATGTTCTCAGTAAACTTCCTTATTACTCACAAATAGAATTTAGTACTCATGAAAAATTTCACAGTATTAAGACAAAACTGTTATTTAACACTGGAATATTTAGAATATGTAATRTTTTCTACTGGTTTACAAAGCTCATTATTTCTCGTGACTGTTTGAACAGAGCTAGCCTATTTAGATCCTTATCTAGCTATTTTGGAAACAGCAGGGCTTCCAGTTGTTGATGCAGGAAATACATGTTCCCAGAAAGAGCAGAATGCGTCAGGCATGACTGCAAGAAAAAAACCAAACCAAACAAAAAATATACATAGTTTCTCTCTTAGGTATCTGGTTTTCAGCATMTCCAAAAAATTGTCCTCAGGTGAAACAGCTTCTAGCAAGTTTGAARTGGTCTAGAATTCATTTAACATTTGCATGATATGTTACAGTGTTCATACAGGAAACCTTGCWCATGAGGTAATGTTTTCCTTAAGGCTGTCATATGCTGGGTGTTTACAAAAATTCTATAGTCTAAGCTTACAACTGTCACTGTACTTCATAGGCTGCCAGAGATGGAAGAGATGTTATCTGAGTATAAGCTTTTCTATCCTTAGTTAAAAGTTTCAGGGACAGATAATATGCAACACTCTACTCCTGTCCTGTAGCCAGAGGCACAGAACAGAGCTTGAAATCAAAGCACAGGTTCTAGAATAGAAGTCCCCTCTTCCTAATTTAACTCAAATCTAAAAAACAAATGGCTTTTTTTTTTTTTTTTAATATGGAAAAATAGCTTTTAAATAGTCACAAAAGCTTATGGGACTAAGTAAGAGCCAAAGCATGTGTGGGGAAGACAGAGAGGGTTTATACCTCTCAGAGTATTCCCAAGAGGAGGAAATTCCCTAATCTTCTCTGCATCTGACTCTCCAAACTGAACAGAATCAACTTACTCAGCATTTGCACACACTACTACAGTTCCTAAGGGTAACTCAAAATCTAAAATACCTGTAGCTAGAAMTTTTATCCTATGTAGTTTAATAAGGGAACAAATTACTATCTCCACTAGGAAAGGCTTTAATTAGCCAAGCCCAAAACACTCTAAAGGCTTAATTGTGAAAGTATATGAACAGTACTGTTTATTATCCTTTCTCTGGTGTTAAAAAGCTTGCCAGGGATCCAGTTTACTATGGAATAACATGATTAGGAGAAAACATAACTTCTTTTTCTGTCTACTTCAAACATTGTGTTAGCAAAGTCATCTAGTAAGAAAGATGACATTAGGGAGGAAAAGGGTAGGGCTCTGTTTGTGAAGAAAATCTGCAAATCTGCAAAGGAGGTTGTTTTTAGTTTAAAAGCAACACCAAAGGAAGTCTGGTTCCTCTGCAACAGAGCTCTTGCCAACTTCAAATGGGGACACAATTCTTGCTTTAGCGTAAATGCTCCGSGCTGACTCCTTTCAGGAAGTTCTGAAATCTTCCAAAACAATCCAGTATGAGTAAGTAACAACCGTTTCTGGAATTTCTCTAGCATCCAGGCAGATCTAAACAKTTTGTAAGCCACAGTAAGCATTCAGGATTTGTAAGTGGAAAAGTGGCTTTACACAGTTTAAAAAAATTTGAGTTGACCTGAGTAAGTACATGGGTTTTTAGTTAGTCAGTTTTTGGAAGGGAAYTTAGTATTTAGGAGTCCTGAATTTGTTCCAGTACAGGACTAAACCAAACTGGRATTTCAAAAAAAGATTACAGAAAGACTAAGAAATACCACATCGTTAGGAAGATGCAGCACAATAAACAAATGAGTGCATAGTGTTGGGATCTCTACAATCTTGATTTTCCAGATTTATCCYTAATACAAACAATAGTGAGAGAAGATTTCTACAGCTAAGAAGGCTCTGATGAAATAGCAGTAAGAGGTAGAAGAATCTGGTGGCTCATTACAACTCAGTTGGGGTTAGAAAGATTGAAGGAAAAGAAACTGAAGGAAATGATTCAGTTTTTACATCATGCCAGTGTTTTCATAAAAACAAACTCTGGCAATATTAATGCAAGTTACAGTAGAAAAAAAATTAATGAGGTTTCATTTCTCTTTCTCACAGACAGATTTCTACATACTTTCTTCTTGCACATTTTGGTACATCACAAAGGGCAKTAAAATCCAGAAAAAGCCTAACCAAACCTAACCAATTTTCATAAGTACTTCTTACTTATGCTCTGGCAATGCAAGAATAGCTCAAAGCCTGAGAGTTTGAGAGGTCTYATTATTCCTGTAGAGTGTAAATATTGGTACCTATGTCCCAACAAACAGGGAGAGGGGAAATCACTTGTAGTGGATCCTAATATAAGTTTAAATATATTTTTATTCTAAACAGCAAAATCACAAGCAGTATTAAGAATTTGTATTTCTCTTATTGCTGCTTAAAAACTACTCAATACAGTATTTTACTTAGCTAATAGCAAAGGTAAGATTTATTTTTGGTTTCAAGAAAAACATTATTGTTGTCCTTTAGATTCATTGATTCTGCTTATTACCTCAGAATATATATGCACTTAATCAGAAAAAAAATCAATTTGTAAGTGTCAAACATTTATTGCTGCAATAAGTACTGAAGTGGAAGCCAGCCCAGCCACACTGACCCTATAGTTCTCAATCACCTAAGAGCCTGGTGTGAAACTCTCCTCATTTGTAACATGAGGGCATTCWAATATTTGGTGAATGGCTAAGAGATGTCTGCATGCCCTAGAGGCAGAAAATGTTAAAGGCCAAGTGGAGATTCCACAACTGAAAAATGTCCACTGAGACTCCACAGAATTGGGAAAGTCCTTCCTCTGACCCAGCTGCTCATTTGTCTCATTAAAGTCTATCCAGAAGCCACCCYGTGAGTACCTGGGGCTCCCTCCCTGCTGCACCACCACTCCCACAGGCCTGGGCTGCACAGGCTCTCAGGTCAGAACCACAGAATCAGAGTGTTAAGGGGCTGGAATCGACCTCTAAGCTCATTTTGTTCCATGCCCCTGCCCCGGGCAGAGAAYCTTCCACCAGACCAGMTTGCTCAGGGCCCCATCCAGCCTGGCCTCAAACACTTCCAGGGATGGGGCACCCACAGCCTATCTGGGGAGCCTGTTACAATGCCTCAAACTCCCACAGCAAAGAATTTATTTCTAATGTCTAACCTACATTTTCCCTCTTTCAGTTTGCMCCCACTCCCCCTTATCCTGTCACTGCTGTTCCTCATGACGAGGCCCTCTCTCACCTCCCTGAAGGCCCCTTCAGGTCCCGGCAGGGGCTGTGAGGCCTCCACACAACCTTCTCTCCYCAAACCTGAACAGCCCCAACTTTCTCAGCCTGTCCCTAGAAGGAAGGAGTGCTCCAGTTCTCTTATCAACTTCATGGYCCCCTCTGGACTTGCTCCGACAGCTCCATATCCTTCTTATGTTTGACACACCAGAACCGTGTGCGATACTCCAGGCTGGGTCTCACAAGGCCAGGGCTGAGGGGAGAGTTACCAATCTGAGTTACACCACAGCACTGKGAATGCACTCACTGGGACTGATGGCAAACACAGCTGTTTCAATATATTCATTTGTGGTAAGGGAAGTGAGAGGTACCTTTTTGTTTCACTTGGCATTTTAGTTAATGACTAGGCTAAAAAATGGTAGCTTGGACAGACAGTATTTCCAGAAGATGGAAAAGGAGAAAATGTGCAACTGAAAAATACTGATATTGCTAACATCTACAAAATATACTTGAACTAAAGGGAAAAAAAATTAAAAGGAGATGCATATTCTATACTAATAAAGAAGTAGTTCGGTCTGATCCCCCAACACATCCCTATCTCATTAGACATTATGGCAA